TGGCTGCCTCCTGCATGCCCCCCACTGGGGATTTGGCTCACAAACTAGGCATGTGCCCTGACTAGGAATCAAACTGGAGACCTCTTGGTACATGGGTCAACGCTCAACCACTGAGCCACACCGCCTGGGCTATTTTTTCATTCTTTGTGTCTTTTCAAATCTCTTTTAATAAGACTTTGTAGTTTTCAGTACATACTTCTTTCCCATTCTTTATTGAGTTTATTCCTAGGTATTTTATTATTTTGGTTGCAATTGCAAAAGGATTTTTTTTTCTTTAAATCCTCATCTGAGGACATTTTTTTATTTTTTGTTCAGATAGAGTGGGAGCGAGAGAGGGAGAGAGAGAGAAAGAAACATCAACATGAAAGGGACACATCGAGTGGCTGCCACCCACGCGACCCAATGAGGTACACGCCCTTAGCGGAAACTGAACCCGGGTCTCTCTGGACCACAGGCCAATGCTCTAACTGCTGAGCCAAACTGGCCAGCGCTTCATTTCTTTTTCTGAAATTTTGTTGTTAGTATACAGGAAGGCAGTGGATTTTTTTCTTTTGCTTCATTGCATTTTCCAGTTTGTTCAATGCTTTAAAGCTCAAGGATACTTCTGCTTTCAACTGTACATGGGCCCGAAGCATCCTAGCTTTTGGCAAGCAGTCAGGAGACTCATCAAATATCAAAACTGGAACAAGGCAGACAAAATGCAGGGTACGTCTGTGAACATATTATACATTTAAAAATTATAATATAAGTAAAAGAGAAATAGTTTACAGGTGAAATGAAACTATCTGAAACTAACATACCACAAGTTTCTGAACCTGGACTGATACGGTAAGTTTATTTATACACACACAGACACACACACACACACACATTATGTATAAAAAGTTTTGTTTACCTCAAGTGGAATTGGCAATCATGCTTATAGGCAGTAGATTTTTATACATTGATTTTGTATTCTATAATATTATGGTATTTATTTATTGTTTCTAATATTTTTTTGGTGGAGTCTTTAGTGTTTTCTATATACAGAATCATGTTGTCTGCAAAAAGTGAGTTTCACTTCTTCCTTTCTTATTTGGAAGCATTTTATTTCTTTTTCTTCAAAGCCTTGTTGTTCCAGCCAGGACTTCCAAAACTATGCTGAATAAGAGTGGTGAGAGTCCACATCCTTGTTTTGTTTCTGATCTTAGAAGAACAGCTTTCAGCTTTTCACCATTGAGTGTGATGTTAGCTGAGGGTTTATCATATATGGCCTTTATTATGTTAAGGTATTTTCCTTTTATTCCTATTTTGTGAGTGTTTTAATAATAAATAGATGTTGTATCCTATCAAATGCTTTTTCTGCATCCATTGATAAGATCATATAATTTTTATCCTATCTTCTGTTAATGTGGTGTATTACATTGATTTGCAGAGGTTGAACCATCCTTGTGTCACTAGAATGAATCCCACTTGATCGTGCTGTATTATTATTTTTTTGATGTATTGTTGTATTCAATTTGCTGGTATTTTGTTTAGGATTTTTGCATCTGTATTAATCAGAGATACCGGTCTGTGGTTTTCTTTTTCTGTGTTATCCTTGCCAAATTTTGGTGTCAGGGTTATGTTGGCCTCATATAATGTATTAGGAAGTGTAACTTCTTCAATTTTTTGGAAGAGTTTGAGAAAGACAGGTTTTAAAACTTCTTTGGCCCTGGCTGGTTAGGCACAGCAGTTAGAGCATCAGCCCGCGGACCAGAGAGTCTCGGGTTCAGTTCCTGCTAAGGGCACATACCTCAGTTGCAGTTTTGTCTCCGTCCGGTTGGGGTCATGTGGGTGGCAACCACTCGATGTGTCTCTCTCATGTCAATGTTTCTCTCTCTCGCTTCCTCTCCCTCTCCCTCCTGCCATATCTGAAGAAAAATGCAAAAATGTCCTTGGATGAGGATTAAAAAAATAAATAAATAAACTTCTTTGAATGTTTGTAGAATTCACTGGAGAAGTCATCTGGTCCTGGACATTAAATTTTAGGGAGGTTTTTAATGGTTGTTTTAAATTCTTCACTGCTGATCAGTCTATTCAGATTTTTCAGTTCTTCATCATTGAGTCTAGGAAGGTTATGTATTTCTAGGAACTTAGCCATTTTCTCTAGGTTATTGAATATGTTGACACATAGTTATTCACATTTTCCTAGTATGATCCTTTGTATGTCTGTGGTGATTTCTCCTCTTTCATTTCTGATTTTGTTTATATGGGTTTTTTCTCTTTTTTCCTTAGTGAGTCTAGCCAGTGGCTTGTCATTTTGTTAGTCTTTTCCAGCTCTTTATTTTATTAATTTTTATATAGTCTTTTTGTTCTCTATTTCAGTTAATCCTGCTCTAATTTTTATTATTTCCTTTCTTCTACTCAATTTGGGTTGTTTTTAGCAGTCTTTTTCCAGGACTTTAAGATCTAATGTTAGGCCTGTAATGATATAAACTTCCTTCTTATTACTGCTTTCGCTGCATCCCAGAAGTTTTGACATGTTGTGTTGCTATTATCATTTGTCTCTATATATCTTTGATCACATCTTTTATTTCTTCTTCACTCAGGTATTTTTTAGTATAATTTCTTTCTTTATTGTTGAAATTATTACATACGTTCCTCCTTTTCTCTCTCATGAACAACCTCTCTGTGATTCCAACCTCGACCTTCACTGCACTGTTGTCCGTGTCCACAGATTATGCATATATGCATGTAAGTTTTTTGGTTCATATCTTCCTGCCATTCCCGTCTTTTCTATTTGAGGATTGCCTGTTGACTCCCTACTTCTATGTCTCTGGATCTATTTTGTTTATTAGCTTATTTTGTTTATTATATACCACTAATCAATGAGATTATGCAATACTTGTCTTTCTCTGATTGGTTTATTTCACTTAGCATAATGCTATCCAGGTCCCTCCATGTTATTTCAAAGGGCATTGCATCTTTCTTTCTTACAGCTGTATAGTATCCCATTGTGTAAATACACCAGTTTTTTTGCTGTGCAGAAGCTTTATAGTTTAAAATAGTCTCATTTATTATTGTTTTCCTTATCCTAGGCGATGTATCGCTGAAAATTTTGCTATGTGTGATGTCTGAGATTTTGCTGTTTACATTTTCTTCTAGGATTTTTATGATTTCACAAGTTACATTTAAGTCTTTTATACATTTTGAGTTTATTCTTGTGTATGCTGTAAATTGGTAGTATAGTTTTATTTTTTTGCATATACTTGTCCAATTTTCCCAACACCATTTTTTTAAGAGACTGTCTTTACTCCATTGTATACTCTTGCCTCCTATGTCAAATATTAATTAATATAATGTCTTGGGTTGATTTCTGGATTCTCTTATCTATTCCATTGATCTATATGTCTGTTCTTGTGCCAGTACCAGGCTGTTTTGATTAAATTGGCTTTGTAGTATAACTTGATATCCAGAATTATGATCCCTCCAACTTTGTTCTTCTTTTTCAAGATTGCTATTTGGGGTCTTTTTTGGTTCCATATAAACTTTTGGAGTATTTGTTCTAGATCTGTGAAATATGCCATTCTTATTTTAATAGGGATTGCATTGAATCTATAGATTGCTTTCAGTTGTATAGACATTTTAATGACACTGATTAGTCCAATCCATAAACAGGGTTTATGCTTCCATTTTTTATATATCTTCCTATATTTCTTTTGTCAATGTCTTATAATTTTCTGAGAACAGGTCTTTTACCTCCTTGGTTAACTTTATTCCCAGGTATCTTAACTTTTTGTTGTTGTTGCAATGGTAAATGAGATTTTTTTCTTTTGGTTTCTTTTTCTGAGTGTTCAATATTGGTATATAAAATGCCATCAATTTCTAAATGTTAATTTTGTAGCCTGCTACTCTGCCAAATACATTTATTAAATCTAGTATTTTTTGTTGGAGTCTTTTGGGTTTTCTATGTACAATGTCATGTCACCTGCGAATAATGACAGTTTCAATTCCTCTTTTCCAATTTGGATCCCTTTTATTTTTTTCTTCTTGTCTGATCACTGTGGCTAAGACTTTTAGTATTATATTGAATGAGTGGTGAAAGTGGACATCCCTACCTTGTTCCTGTTCTTAGGGGAAATGCTTTTAGTTTTTGCCCACTGAGTATGATGTTGGCTGTAGGTTTGTCATCTTTGGCCTTTATTATGTTGAGTTATTATCCTTCTATTCCCACTTTGCTGAGAGTTTTTATAAAAAATGGGTGCTGGATTTTGTCAAATGCTTTTTTAGCATCTATTGATATGATCATATGATTTGTATCTTTCATTTTACTTATGTGGTGTTATCACATTTATTGATTTGCAAATAACTGTATCAGTCCTGCATTCCTGGGATAAATCCCACTTGGTCATGGTGAATGATCTTTTCAATATATTGCTGGATTTGATTTGCTAATATTTTATTGAGGTTTTTGGCATCTATATTCATCAGGGATATTGGCCAGTCATTTTCTTTCTTTGTAGTGTCTTTATCTGGCTTTGGAATTAAGATTATCCTTCACTCAGAAAAAGAGCTTGAAATTCTTCCTTCTTCTTGAATTTTTTGCAATAGTCTGAGAAGAAAAAGTGTTAGTTCTTCTTTGAATGTTGGGTAAAACTCTCCTGCGAAGTTGTCCAGACCAGTACTTTTGTTTGCTAGGAGCTTACTGATTTCTGTTTCAATTTCCCTGGTTGTTATTGGTGTCTTCAGGTTTTCTGACTCTTCCTGGTTGAGTTCTAGAATACTGTATGATTCTAGTAATTTGTCCAATTTGCTTAGGTTGTCCAATTTATTGGCATGTAATTATTCATAGTATTTTCTTACCATCCTTTGTATTTCTGTGGTATCAGTTGTTACTTCAGTTCTTTTATTTCTAATTTAATTTATTTAGGTATTCTCTTTTGTTTTTTGTTTCTTGGTGAATCTGGCTAAAGTTTGATCAATCTTTTTTATCTTTTTAAAGAACCAGCTTTTGGTATCATTAATAATTTGTATTTTTTTTTAACGTGGAATGCTTTGTACATTTTCATGTCATCCTTGCACAGGGGCCATGCTAATCTTCTCTGTATCCTTTCAATATTAGTATATGTACTGCTGAAGCAAACACTGTGGTATGTTGTTGAATCTCTACTTATCTTTTTCTCTTTAATCTCTTCTGCTACCATGTACCTCTTTATTAGTGAAATCAGTTCATTTACCTTTAGGGTAATTATTGATGTATGAGGATTTCCTATAACCATTTTATCTTTTTTTTTTCTGGTACGTCTGCGCCTCCATTGGCCTTTTCCTTTGTGTTTCTGTCTGTTGTCTTTGTTTGATGGTATTCCATACTTCTTTCCTCTGTTTCATCTTTTTTAAGCTATGTGTCTTAGTTGGGAATTTTTGTGTGTGGTTACCATTAGGTTTATAAAAAATAAATTTTCTTGTATACAGTAGTATTCTTTCTTCTGAGCACATCTGATCTTCTATTTCCTTTGCCATTTCAGACCTTTACCCTCTCCCCTTTTAGATTTTGTTGTCACAAACTGTCCCTGTTTATGCTGTACATTTTTTGGTGATCTTACTTGTAGTGTTGTGACTTCATGTTCTTTTTTCAGGTAGAATACTCCCTTGAGTATTTTCTGCGATGAAGGTTTTCTGGTCATAATATCCTTCAGCTTCTGTAAGTCTTGGGTAAATCTTTATTTCTCCTTCACATTTAAAGGATAATTTTGCTGGATATATTATTAGTGACTGGTAATTTCTCTCTTTCAGACATTTGAAAATTTGGTTTTACGTTCTTTGGGCTTACAGAGTTTATGCTGAGAAGTCAGATGATATTATTATGGGTTTTCCTTTGTTGGTCATTTCCTTCTTTTGCCTGGCTGCTTTGAGAATCACTTCTGTTATTAATTTTTGGCAGTTTTAACATAATGTGCCTTAGAGAGGGCCTTTTTAGATTGAGGCAACTAGGTATTCTGTTTTCTTCTTGGATTTAAGGATCTAGTTCTTTCCATAAATTTGGGAAGTTACCATTCACTATTTGTTTGAATAGGTTCTTTGTTGTTTTCTCTTTGTCTTCTATTTCTGGTATGCTTATTATTCTAATATTGCTTTTTCTGATGGAGTCAGATAGTTCTCATTGAACTCTTTCATATTCCTTTATGCTCAGTTCTCTCTCTTCTTCCTCTGTATCATTTCTAGATTCCTATCTTCTAAATCACAAATTCTTTCCTCCTTCTAGTTGGCTCCGTTTACTATGCTTAGTAGTTCACTCCTAATCTCCTTAATTTTCAGGATTTCTGATCAGTTCTTTTTAAAGTTTCAATCTCTCTAGTAAAGTACTCATTTTGTTCATAAATTTGTTTTCTGGGTGCATTAAATTGCCTTTCAATATTTTCTCATATCTCTTTGAGTATTTTTAGAACTGCAGTCTTGAAATCTCTGTTATTTATATCACATGTTTCTATGTGCGCCAACTTGCTTTCTAGGGATTTTTTGTTTTCTTTCTGAGCTTCCTCACTACCATGGTTATTCATGGTATTTGCTGGCCTCCTTTATCTAATCATGTATGTATGTATGTATGTATGTATTCTTGGATCTTCTCTAGCAGCTTTCTCTGAAGAGGTCTTTCTACTATTTTTCAGTAGGATGGTGAATCACAAGATTTTTACCTCTGTGATGTCCCAGACTTGACCTCCATGGCTTCTGTAAGATAGTACAGACATGCTGCTTGAGGGTGGGTTTTGTTTTGCCCTCACCATATGGAGACCTCAGACTTCTCTGAGGTCCCCCACCAAGCACTCCACCTGGGGATCAGTCACAGAGGAAACAGTGGTTCCATTGCAATAGCTATTGGTTTACAGATACAGCACTCCTTGACTCAACACCAAGGGCTATGGGTAACAAGTTTTGGGAGTCCAAGGGGTTGCAGGGCTCTGTGGTTCCATTTCTGCATCTGAATCATCATTGCCCGAGCTTTGTCAAGCATCTCCGCTGGTTCAGTCATTATACCCTCTGCTCACCCTGCTGGACTGCCTACTATGACTCTCTGTTCCTCTCAGATGAAGGAAGTGCCCATTACTACTAGCTTCCTCACGTCTCTGGACTGAGCCATGAGCTTCCAGGGCTGCGACTATAGCCCTCAGAGCTTTCTTCCTTTTTGCCTCCCCATTTATTCCTGGTTGTCCACTTTTAGAGTCTTCAATGCAAGGGTCTCTCAGGCATGCCTCCACATTGAGTAGGAAATTCTTTGTTGAGTTATGATTGATTAATTTGTTGAAATTTGAAGGGGAGAAAACCAACGGGAATCTTTCATGCTGCCATTCCTCTGATATCACTAACATTACTTCTTTTAAGGGTGTGATTTGGTAAATAAAAGCAACTGAAATGAAAGCGTTCTCATCTCTATTGATGTCACTATAAATGCAACATGAAAAAAATAACTTTACAGAATATTCTTCTGTCAACAAGATGAATGATCCATCATGAACAGAGAGAGAAGATCTTCATAATGGGTATGGAATTTTTGTTAATGTTATTTGTTTAGAGCATACTATGATGACTTTGATTTCAGTAGGAGGTTTGTAGTTTATCTTGCATAATTGCATCAATTGCACGAGTGTTCGTTTTTTTCAAAAGACAAAAAAGAAATTTACCGATCAAATAATAGAACTATTATTCTACTGCAGTTATTAACTTGTATATGTATAATATATAAATTGTATACTGTAACTTGTATACTGTATATGTATAATACATAAATTATATTAACATTTATATTATGTAAACCCATTTCAGACTCAACATATATAAATTGAAGCAGACTAACTTATAATAAAGTTTTAATAATAACAGAATGATCTAGAATTATGTAGGTCATTTGTATTATGTATGAATAAATTTCTATTTATCCTAAATATTTTAGATATAATATATTAGTTACACAAATGTAAACTATTCTAAATGGGAATATAGGATTACTTTGGCCTATATTTAAAATATATAATATTGATATATATGCAGAAAGAATAAATTTATTTCTAGCAAAGTGGTAATTTTAATCACGACATTTGTTAACATTTAGCTGTAATCATTGATTTAACCTAATGATCTAACTTTCCAATGATAGGGGAAAATTGGACAGTTTATTTAGAGTAACTAATTGAATATGTGTTTATATTTTTAAAGACTGGAAAATATACTTTGGGTTTAATTAGCATGCTAGATAGCTAAAATAAATCATAATTGATTATGTTGGTTTTTTATGCATATTAATTTTATTTAAAGGATTATAAGGTTTAAAATGTTTTTAACTTTTTTGCATATACAAATATATGGATCAAAAAAAATCAAAAAGGGATACAAAATTAGTAAGTAAACATAATATAAATAAGAATGATAATTTGTTTTCCTTTATTGATTATAGGGAGGGAGGAAGGAAGAAGGAGAGAGAGAAATATCAATGAGAGAGAACACTGATTGGCCACCTCCTGCATGACCCCACTGGGGAACGGGCCCACAATGTGGGCATGTGTCCTGACCAGGAATCGAACCAGCAACCTCTTGGTGCATGGGTTGATGCTCAACCAGTGAGCCACACTGGCTGGACAGAATGATGATGCTTTTATCTTACATTAACAAATATTTCAGCTTAATTCTAAACACTGTAATCTTTTACAAACATTTGCATAATAAAATATATTCTTAATCCTTCTATGAAAGTAAAGCTGCTGGTACTACTTCCTTAGCCCCCTTTTTAAATTGCATATTTTTTTGCATGGGTGTCTCCACAATAAATATCTAATTTTTACCTATTTTAACTAATGTAAAATCTTCAGATCCTTTCTATATTATTTGAAATAAGTCTTAGCTAAGGAAAGTCTAGGCAGCTGAGGCAGGGTATGGTTTCAGTATTTCATTACGTTGCACTTCCAAGAATATGCATTAGAGTGACAGTGATATTGTCCAGATACAGTGTCATTCCACAGAACCCCATGGAAATAGGGGGCTTGGGAGACCATATATGGCCATAAGAGTTGGATCTCTTTTCTAGGTTCTGTGAAATTCAGAGACATTGGAGATGGTTGATGACATTCTATTTCTTTCTCTCTTTTTCTTGTTCTACTTCATCTCTTCCACATCCTTCATTTTTCCTGATATTCCATTTTTTAAATAGTTGTTCATCTTCTCCTATCTTAAACTTTGGTGCATAGTTGCTCACAGAAGAGTCATTTAGGTCAATTTCTAACATTGAGATCAATATTTTTGATATTGCTTATTTTTTTAATATATTGGGGTGACATTGGTTAATAGGATCATATAGGTTTCAGAGAATATTGCTTGTTCTAATAGTAAGGTTATCTTTTCTTCTTCTCCTTTACTTAATTAACATTTTTTTATTTCTTAAGAGCTATAGGCCTATTTGGCGAGAAAGCCAAGCCTGTTGAAGTATAATTTATAGAATGCAAATGCCAGGCATTGGTGGGAGCCAAGCTAGATCACTAGAAGGCTCATGTACTGTGCTTTTCACATCGGCTCCCAGTAGCTCAGCATATTGATTTTAAAATTTATGGCTTTCAAAGCTATTAGCAGCCTTGATTCTTCTCATAGTTCCAATTCACTATGTCAGTCAAGAACACTGATATTGTCCCATGGCTGCATGTTCCCTTTGTAGCGCTGATTTTTTAATAGTTCATTTATTGAAATTGGTACTGGAAGTTAACATTGATTTTCCCTTCTAATGTCTGGCATTTTTCAAGTTCTAGTCCCATGTATTTTGGACTTATCATATATATATGTTTAAAAGGACAGCATTGGTAGCAGTTGTACTTTATAAATTCCCTTGCATTGTCTCAATCACTATAACTGCTTTGGCTAATTTGGTGAGTTAACCAAACCAGAAAAAAGAGAAGGCAATACGCAAGTGAGCCAGACCCAGTAGGAAGCCTGGAATTTCTCACCATTCAGCATCAAAATTTTCATACATTCTCTTTGTTTTCATTTTAATGTTCCTGCATCTGGAGACCATGAATCTATATATTAGCCTTCTATTTCAACTTTTATGTAAAGAAAACTTCTGGACCTTTCCTTGTACCCTGGTTGATTGACAAACACCTCCCTATCT